CACTCTTTCCTCCCAGGCTTATGTCAGACTTGCAATGAAGTTAGAATGAGCAGGAGTCTGCAGCTTTTCAGTGCCTGAGATAACTAGAGTTTGCCAGAACATTGTAAAATGGGAGTTTTTCACCAGCATGCAATGTTGTCAGCTGCCTGATTAATTGTCAGAAACTTTACTTTTGCATTATGGGCAATCATTGGAGTTTTCTTTGACAGAACTCAAGAAACCCATTTATGAGATTCTGGAAAGGGTCTCAGTTCTACTCCCTGGCAAGACCTCTGCTGGAACATTCATTCTAATCAGTCAAGTAGCAAAGGAACATGACGTCTGAGACCTCCTTGGTGGAGCTGCCTGAGCTGAGGGATTGAAGCAAGGGTAACCTGTTCTTGTCTGATGTTCTCTTTAGAGAATGGCAATGGTCTCTGCGATGTCCTGGGTCCTGTACTTGTGGATAAGTGCTTGTGCGATGCTGCTCTGCCATGGATCCCTCCAACACACCTTCCAGCAGCATCACCTGCACAGACCAGGTAAGCGGGGAGCCGGCTCTGCTGTAGGCTCCTCCAGGCTCACCGTGGTCTCCTCAACAGATGGTGGAATGCAAGTAACAGAAATTGCTATAGTGTGGGCAGTTTGCCTTTGAATTCTAAGACATATTGTGGGCTGGTTGCTCCGGGGGAAGGAGAGTATGCTAAAAATTCCTCAGAGGTGTTTCTATTAATTTCTCAGAAAAGGTGGGTTTCTCGACGTGAGCCCCCCACCTTCTTTCTCATACTTTATTTAGTAGGATCACTTGATTTCGAACAATACAAAATATTCTATAAAAAGGTGGGATCACTTTCAAGATTGGAGAGTTTGGGGAGGAGGCATGTATTTCCTGGGATGAGTTTTACCTAGTCTGGCTACTTTCCTTTCAGTCTAGTGTGGCTGAGGGGTGTAGGGATGTGCTAATGGCCAGACTAACTTTAGAAGTAAGTTGTCAATAAAAAAGAAAATCAAACAGTGATTTACTACATCATCATCATCATCATCATCATCATCATCATCATTATTTATTGCTCTGGTTTAATTTGCTTCCTATTGCCTCTCCCTTCCTTTCCTTACTTTTGACTCCTCCAGTGTGTTCAGTGACCCCCTCCCCCCTTCCCTTCCTCTGTTGGCACTTTCAGGAACAAGTTTCCTCTAGCTTGATTTTTGAAATTTTCCCTTACTAAATATGTTTAGTTCCTGGTGCAGTTTGCTTTCCTGGGCTTCTAACTTTTTCTTGACCTCACTCTCCCATCCAGATTTTTCTTTCTTTGCCTCTCCAGCGTTCTCATACAAAGTCGCTCTCAGCTCGATTTTCTTTACATTTCCCACTTCCCGGAATGATTTCCATCCCATTTTCTGTGTAGCTTTAGCCTTTGTGTCCTTTCGCCACACCCTGTACCTTCATTCTTTTTGGTGGCCCCCTCTGAAGGTCAAGTTCAGCCTCTGGGGACCAGTTGCACGCCCAAGTTCCAAGTCATCAGATCTGCAGTGCTACTGCCCTCCCCCCAGACCCTCCCTAAATCCCTGCCTGGCCTCCTGGCCTCCGGCTACCGCTGGGCTTCCCGCTGCAGGTCCGAGTGTGCCCAGCTGCCGTTTCTGGTTCCGCAGCCTTATCCCATGCTTTTCTGCAAAACCTCCTCTCAAGTCCTCTCCTGGTGTCTTTTTCTGCGTCTACCGCTGGGGCAGCCTGGACACAGCTCCATGCAACCCCCGGATCCTCCACCAGGGAGGGTGCAGGCCCGAGCATACCTGCTGGGGCTCCAGCCAGGTCACTGCAGAGGAGGACTGGCTGGGGGTATAAATCAGCTGTCCCTGGCCCCAGAAGCCTTACCTCCCCTTCCACTAGTGCAAGTCGTTGGGTCGGTGGGTAGGTGGGTGATGGAGTGAGGGGACACTGGTGCCCCTGCAGGTGGGCATGGAAACCTCAGTGCTGCGCTGCGTGCTTGTGTTTCTGCAACTGTGTCCAGACCCTGGCTCGGGAAGTGCCAGGAGCTTTGGGGCTATCTATACTGGAGGGACCACAATCATGGAGTTGGGGATCACCAAGCTACTTGCAACCACTTAATCATCACCAATCTGCTCTGGCAAGAAAAGTATTTGGCTTGTTACATAGTTATACAAATAACCTGGGAAATGTGCCTTCCCAGTAATCCTCAACAATGTGAATGTCATAAAGAAAGCAACCATTAATTGTGACAGATTTAAGCTTCCAGTTCAGGGTTAATTCATATTGTTAATTTAATCATTATGTAAGTGAAAGCCATTTCCCCCTTTTGTCCAGGAGATGGAAATGGAAGTTTGGAGGGGCTGAATGACTAATCCGAGACCACCCCCAAAACAGTTGCCATCCCAAGGCATACAGATACGATTCTACCACAAAAAGGAGAAAAATACCTACAGCTGCACAGGTGCAATGTCGATGCCAAGTGGCCTCTTTGAAGAGCATTTGATATTATGTATAAAAACTTTTAGGTCAGGCCAACACGTGTATTCATTTGAGTTGCAAGCCAGTTCTGAGAGGTGGCAGAGGCAGGTGGGGGGTGGAAGGGGCCCAAGCAGCAGAGTTCACATGGGGTCCCCTTCTCTGTCATGTATCTTCCCTGGCATGACCTTGGCTAAGTGACTTTACTTCTCTAAACTAATTTCCCCATCAGGAGATATGTTGGAGTTGGGAGGGATTAACAAGACTTCCTAGGAAATTTTGTATGTCTCTTACATTTGCCTATAAATATTGAGCATTGCTGGCACCCTTTTTAATGGACTGCAACCTGTAAGTCAGGATGTTGAATGAGTCACGTTTTATTGTTCAGACAGCCGGTAAGTGATACACATGGCCAGGATAAATAGTGTTGTTTTCTTTTGCTGTTGTTTTTTCCTAACCAGGTGGTACATGGCTACAACATACCACCAAGTATCACCTGTGTGCAAAATCATGAAAAAAGATAAGCAGAGTTTGTAGTAGAGTTTCACAGGGTTCATTTCTGTTGGCTAGTGGGGAGCTGTGGTTATTATGTGTAGCAAATGCCAATCTTTTTAGGGCTTTTTATTAAAAGTTCACATAGTTTAAGCTGAGAAACAGATCATGGGATTTGACTGAAATTAAACTCAGTGTTCATTCTACCCACTGTTTCCTTTGGAATGTGCTTATTACCAACCAGTGCATGCTGGAGCTGCATCTTAAATAGCCCAAGGAACTGTTATCACTGAAACCAACTTCAACTCCAAGTGCTTATGCTTTTGAGCCCCATCTCAGGTTTGTTGTTGAAATGAAGGAACTATAAATGTCCCTTCTAGATGCAGAAGGATTAAACAATGTTGAACTGGAAGACCAGTGGGTCTGTGTAATATGATGATTCAACTTTCTTAGGTTTTCACAATAGCTGCAAAGATGAAAGCTGTAGATCTTGGTCATAGCAATCTTAGAGATTGCTTTAATCAGACTGTGTAATATGATCTTCTGTTTTGATTTTAAGAGTCAAAATATTGCGTTTTTTTTTTTTTTTTTTTTTTTTTTTTTTTTTTTTGGGGGGTTTGGCTTTTTTTTTGCATGAGGGTTGTAGCATTTTCCTTTGCAGTTCTTCAGTCCTCAGGGACATTAATGAAATGTATAGGAAAACGAAAAAAAAAAACCAAAAAACAAAAAACAGGGCCAGTTATCTGTGACAGTCCACCCCTAAATGGGCAGATGAATAAAGAAATAGATAAATGAGCAAAAAAGGAAAAACATAATCTCATTTTCTCAAATTGGTGAAAATAAGTGGCATGATGAGAAAAAATGAGACAGCAGCAGACCCCGAGCTTTGCTAGCGTTTGCCTAAGCTTGAAAAATCACCTCTTTCATAGCACAAGAGCAGTGGACTTGGTATGCATACTAAGTATGTGGAAATGTGCAAAATGACAAATCTTTCACTCAGAGCTGGAGTGGGGGTACTAAGGGGGTGTGAAAGCTTTAATTCTGTCCTCACCTGCTTAGGAACGGCCGTTCCTCCCCCTCCTGCCAGCGCCTCACAGGCAGCTTCCCTGTCCCCTCCAGAGCAAGATTGATGGTGTTCCGATTGCAAGCAGCCAATTTCAGTCTCTCAAGAAATAATCCACTACACTGACAGATGAGAGGAGTTTGACGAGCTATTCCCTGTGTTGAGATTGTGCCGCACCTGGATAGCACCAGCCAGCCAGGGCCCTTTAGGGGAAATGGTTAGAGATTTGGGCCAATTTCTGCTGTCATAACATGAAATTGGGAGGGTGTTTTTGTGCAGCCACAAATTTGTGGTCTGTCTCCTCCGGTGGGTTTGTACACAACAGAATGAGGATATGGTAACTAGAAAACTGACTTTAATGTGTTTGCCTATAGCCCCTAAGCACTTCTTAGTTTTCATATTTATAGTATTAGGAATGCACCATTTATTTTCACTTACTAGTTAAGGAAGATTAAAACAGTCAATCAAATGAAACTAAAAATTAAAATTACATAAATGAGTAAAATAGGCTATAGACGAACAGATTCATAATTCAATAATTTAATATTTGGCCAGATCAAGTTTTTATCTGGGGAACGATGTAGGAAGTTACTATGACAACTTGAAGAATATGTGTGACTCTTTCTTTTCCCCCATAGTAAACCTTTGTGAGGACACTTAATTTAAAAATGACAGACAGCAATGGAGACTCAGATGTGCCCTCTCCATTGATACGGGTAATTAGAACAGCCTCGATTCTTCCCCTCACCAGTGTTTGAGCAACAGGTAAAAAAGAATAAATGGCCAAATGCAGCTTTCTAATTTAAGATTTGATTTGCCTTCCTTATGAACATAAGAACTATGACAACAATTTTAATGGCTACTTAATTTTGGGTTTGTGGGTGGATGTATATGTGTGGGGGGTATATTTGAAACTTAATAAAATGTAAGTTCTCTTAAAATTCTTTAGCAAGAAAAGAATCCTTGGGATTCTTTAGTAATCTAAAATTATATACATGAATTACATGAGACAAGAAGTTCAAAGTGTCTACTGAATCATTCACTATTGAATCACTGCTATTTTATTGACATTGGAAATGATATATCAAAAACTTGTTCTGAATATATTGTCAATGTAATTTATATTAGACAAGATTTAAAACTATATTAAGCAAACTGTGTATATTAGAAGTCCTCATTTATGACTTTATTATATACTGACTATCACCATCCATTTTAATTTGTGGTATTTTTATTAAAGCAATAAACGTCATTCTTACATACCTTGCATTAATTTTTTACCTTACCATTCAAAGCTGCATTTTAGAAAACTGATTAAGGAATATGCTCTAGATGCTAAGATATGTTTCAATAAGTGGCTGTTTTATAATTTTAATGTGTAAGAACTAGTGGGTAGAATAGTGGTACACATTGGCTTTTTAGGAATGCCTACTAGAGCTAGGTTACTAAGTGTGGTTGATCAACCCAAGGATTAGAGCAGACAAACTGTTATTTGGTATAAGCTGGTGCTAGTGATAATCCAT